CAACACAATACGACAGAGAGAATGAGAAATCGGATCTTCAGTTAAATAAAAAATATTGTCTGCTTTTGATAGCAATGAGACATTAGTGGCACTGGCAGTGGGATTGGGTGTGTGTATGTGTAGTGATGGCTAACAAATGATTTTTCATTAATACAATGAAGTCGAGAGATCTATGAGTTTAGTTAAGTATTACATAGCAGTGAAGTATACAATATCTATATATAATATAAACGGAATATACAGCGTATGGAGTATTTGGGGGGAGATATCACAAGAGTGGCACTCGAATACTGGAGAGCAGAGTATTCAGATGGTGGTCAACGCCGTCAATAGCACACGGCTTAGCCATACCAGTCATACCAGTGCTCTGAATATGTGTTTGTCAGGGCATTAGTTGACAGTATGTGACTGAATGCCTGTGAATCTGTGAATGTGAGCCTCACATACAGTACCCTACAGTACTCTATACTGTATTCTATTTGCTTTACCATACAATATATTCTTTAACATTAATCTCTCTCTCTCTCTCTCACACACACACACACACACACACACACACACACACACACACACACTCACTCACTTTGATTAAATGTTTTGCCGAAATGTTATCATTATCTAATTATTGTGTTTGTTAATTAGAAACTTAGAAACATGTTTCTATTATAAATTAACTTTTCTGTATTTTAATAAAATTTTACACAAATTAAATACAGTATATTATGGTATTTTATTTCCTTTGTAAAACAATAAAAATTTGAGCAGAATTTATAAATTAAACAAATAAATGAATTTGAGTTCAAAATATAATTATTTTAAACATTTTTCCAAACTTATTGAGTGATTGGCAAGAATTTTGATGGTTAGGCTTTTTTGGGACTTTTGGACTTTTGGACTTTGTATTGAGGGAACTGGTCCCTTTTGAAAACATTGCCGAAAATCCGGTTTCGGTCTCTATTATTCAGAAAATATACATTAGTTTTAGAAATTAATTTGAATAATAAAATCATTGGTTAATTTACTGCTGGGAATCCGTGACTTTGTAGACGCGGCAAAGGATGCATTGGAGGTATCGGTGTCTATGGGATGACAGATAAAAGTTTATCAATTTATATGAATATAGTTAAAATCATTTCAATTGAAACTCTCACTGTTTTTATTGCGCACAAACACGAAGACCGAGACACAAATAGAGAAGACAATCACCACAACTACAGCCACAAGAATTATCATCAAAATGGTTTCGTTACTGATCGTAGACTTAGGGGTTGGCCCGACATGTATGCCAGCGTCCGAGCAGTCAATCAAAGTCTGGAGATCTTTCTCTTTGCACTAAACAGTAATTGCAATCAATTATAGCTTTGATTCACATTAACAGCAATTATCAGAGAATCACCTGATTTTGGTTTAAATAATTGCTTTCAAACAGTGTTTTGTAGCAATATTTGATGGCTGACCCCAATTGCACCAAAACGAAGATTCCCTGACCTGCGAAAGTCTTGACGTCGTTGATAATCAGAAAGTCTTTGTGACTATATTGAGCGATCACTGCAATCACATTCAGTTTGTTGTCCAAACTCTCATAGATGGTTGGGAAGTGTTGACGTTCACGCTTTCGGATGGGCTTCAAATCCAAATGCTTTGGGTTATCCTTGTCTGTGAAGTTATAGATCACGAGATTTCTCTGACCTCCAGATTTGCCGAGAAAGTAGACGGCAGGCCATTCGCGCTCGTAATCTGTCGGTACAAACGCTACTTCTGGGCTGAAAGATGTGTCGAAGGCATTCATTTGAGACGTTTTGATATCTGCGGTCACTTTGAGACCGTCGCCAATGTTCGCCCATTTGATGGTTTTGTTTGGGAACTGTTGCAGTGATTGGACACATATTTATCAATTAGTATTAACACATAAATATGACACCAATCTGTTTGTACCATAATTCCCGTCTCAAACTTGTTTTCGTTGCCAATACAGAAAGCCATCCATCCGTTGGTAAACCACGGACTCTGTTGGCCGTCGCCCGCGATCTCCAGATGTTTTTTATTGTCCAAATCATCGGTGAAATTCAGTTGCCATAAGAGGTCTTTAATGACCAAATAATTTGCACCCAAATCTTTGCCCCAAATTCTTCGGTAACCGAAAGAGATTTTGTTTCCGTTGTCTTTAAATTTCTCACAAAAATTAGTCGATTCTCCGAAAGATACCAAAACCGCTACAAATACTATGGTTTGTGTGAAACTATGGTTATTATTTCATAGCAATTCATGTAATAAGGCATCAAAACTATGAATACCTATCACCGCAATGGTCTGCATATTTGTGTTCAAAGTTGAATGTCTTGAGAGAGTGTTTGTAATGAATTAACTTAATTGTCTGGAATATACCAATTGCTGGAACTTCTAACTAAACTAAATAGTGAACTAAATATCAGTGAATACCAAATAAATTATAAAATAAGATAACCGAATGAATAAATTGAATTGGATTTTATTGTAAAGTTTACAATGTAAACTAGTAGCAGTTATTCAGTTACTATATCAAAGGTAATTTGTGTTTGAATTTTAAGCATTAAATTATGATCTCATGAATTAATAAATAATTGTTAAATTCATGCAACAATTATTGTATATCTATAATGTAATAATATATTTCTATAATTTCTATTTCAAGTCATTGAATTGAGTCTTATACAACTCCTATACATTGTATAATAACTAAATGACTTAATAATATGGGAATTATTTCCATTAAACTTATTCATCAATTCTTATTAAACGCTTTGATTCCCTGTTTTTCACGTTTTGTTTATTTAACTTAAAACTCAGTGAAAATTCCATTAATAGTACTCTTTATTGAAGAGTGAGAAGGGATTTGATTAGAGATGGAGAGAGAGAGAGAGAGAGAGAGAGAGAGAGAGAGAGAGAATATTCTATAAAGTAAAACACAATATAAATGGTTTGTTTAAGGCCTATGGGTTCGCATATGTATATAAGCTATCAAATGAACTGATCATTTACAGTAAGTTAAGTGATATTAATGATTGTTCAGCACCCGGTTGTAAGCGCCTAGAGTTGGCACATACACATTGCCTTATGTCATCAGCACATATACACAATATTCCATTGCAGATACTGTACCAGTTCCTATTTTATATATACCATTGAATACAATACTATTGCTATTACACACTAAATGTTGAATAATAAAACTCACAGAATTTTATGCAAACAACCAATTCTTTGTATATTATAGTAAAATAACTTTAAATTATATTATTATTATATTTGTTGAGAATATTTTTAGATATGTAATGAAAATTGTTTGCAATATTTAAACTGCATTTAATCATTAATAAACAAATTCTGTATTTTGTAAATATAATACAATACAATTTCATAACGAAAATACTATAGAGGTTTTAGTGTACATCACTTTATATAATACAGACAATATGTTTTCTAAACCTTTTTAGCTCTCAAATGTTATGTGTGTTTATGATTAATATTAAATGTTTTGTGTGTTTAATAGTTTTTTCTCCGCAAAACCCCTTCGCTATCGGAGCCAAAAGCCGCAAGAGTTGAGTCGCGAAACGGCAATAGATATCAACATTTCGTGACATTTGTATAGAAAATAAAATTGATATTAACTATACTTTTCATCTCCTCTTTTCGCACCCAAACCCTACCCTAACTTCTCCCCTCTCTTTCCACTTTAGAAATTGAATGCTAAACATAACCACAAATTGTATTTCATATTTAATATTTGACTCAAACTTTTCATTTATCTTTGAATCTCAGACACGAGTTTTAAATATAATATTTGGGGAGAGAGAGAGTGTGTGTGTGTTTTGCATTTCATTCAATTTAGTGACAAATCGTATAAGTTTTATATAACATTCAATAAGTTGCAAAAACATTGATTTTTCAATTAATGAATTCTTCATCCAAACACTTTGAGAGAATAAGTTATATTTATAACAATAATTGATTCATCAAGGCAAACGATTAGCTAAAGTGCAAGCATTTCGTGTGTAATCATTAGTATCATAAGAATGCATTATTATGACATAAGTAGCAAAGAATATTCTCTCTCTCTCTCTCTCTCTCTCTCTCTCGTTCTTTCTCACTCACTCACTGACACTGTTTTCTATCATATTATTTTCAGAGAGAGAGAGAGAGAGAGAGAGAGAGAGGGAGAAAGCATCATAAGTATTGGTATAGCATATGATATAAATTACATATTTTTGGTGTCGAACCAAAAACGCTATTAAGATATTGTTGTGAGATATGTGTGTAAAGGGAGGGATAATGTCTTTTTCCGGGAGTTCTAGTTATGGGTAGAGAATGAATGTCCAAAATATATATTGATATGAACACCTAAATGACAGAGTCGTGTAATACATGGCCGGTGCAAACACCCCGATCTCTGTGCGCACATCAAAATGACCGCAAATGCGATGTGCGGGTCGGGAGGTCGACACACAGATACAGGGGCTCTAATCACTTAAGTTATATAACATTTATATTACAAACTCAACGCATTGTGTCTCACAGTAAATGATATATAAGTTATTAAAGGGATCGACGCTTAGGATGTGTTTCCAGTGATTACTCGTATTATTATTTATTCGCAACTTTTGGCTACTAATCTGTTTGCGAGGGGACGGGGTGTTTATGGCAGTGCGGGGGTGTCTATAGCGTAGTGACCAGCGGTGCCAATCTCTGTGTACATAAGGAAATCAACTTGTCTTCAGATAATGAATCGCTGGTATGAGTGATGCGATCGTTGGCACCGATAGCCGATAGCACTAAAACCGGCGCTCAATTTAGTGGACAATGAAATGGACGCATAATATCAGTCATTATTCCTCATCTTTCATGTGCTGACACATCCCTTTCACACCATTTGTGCGTTCAATCAAAAACTACATCCAAATTGATTTCACTTTTAATTAACTTTTTTTGTTTGTTTGTTTGCGAATAACACAGAAATGGGAAAATTAAATCAAAAATAAAGTTTTATTATAATAATTGGCATTCATTTCTAACATTTGTAAGTAATTTCAATTCAAAGTCAATAATTCTTCGGAAGTTTTAAAATTCAAAAATTTAGTCAATGTTTTGCATAAATCTTCACATAATTGTCGATAATTTTGAATACAATTCAACTGTAAATTACTAAGAAATCTAAAGACATTGTATAACAACGTGTGCTAACCATCGATGTCTTAGAGGAGATCATCGAAAGTGGTTCCACTGTAGCCAACATTGGCTTTGTTTAGGTCCACGAAATTAATATAGCATTTGTCGGCCGGTATTCCCAACGTCTTGAGCAAGTGGTCCGATATGACCTTCGAGTGCTTCTTATTGACATCACGGCCTAAGGCGCCGATACTCTCCACCGATACCATACCACACGGACCATCCACTCCGCCTGAAGACATCACCGCAAGTGATCCAATGGATACAAACACACCGTTAGTTTTCAACAACTTTACAAACTATGGCTAAAAGTAGATCTCTATTGATAAGTATAAACATATAAAAACGTGTTGAGACCCCAATTCATGAGCTGATCCGGCAGTACGGTCGCCACCACATAGGACTTAGGCTTTCCCAACGTCTTGGCCACCACTTCGACGGTCGACTCCAAGAAGTTGGCCGGGATTTTGGTCGACGGCACGTTTGTCTGCAGCTTAAACAGTGGCATCACTTCCGGCGGTAATTGTCGCACAA